TGGAAGGGGAAATGATTCTATCTCGCCCGGTGCACATCCAGTGAATGGTCGGACCACTGAATCGGTGAGTTTTTACTCAGTGTTATTTGATAAGAGTTTGTAAAGAATTGTCGTTGAAGCAATTTAAGACAAAAACAAAAAGCGTTTGAGAGGCACCACTAGCAACATCTTTCCCTGCGGATCAACCGAAGAGCAACAAACAGTGGTTCCTTTGTGACATTCCCAGGGCTTGTATATCCACTTTTCTGTTTTCATCAAAGTTTTGGGATTTACACATGCGTGCGAATTTGCGCAATTTTATTCGCTGTGTCAATATTGTCATCGCCCGAAAGGAAATTTAACAGCCCTTCCAGTGAATTTTGATCGGGCGTTCTAAGTTCAATTGCAAGCATTATACGGATATATTTGTTCTGTTCAGTGCTATCTTTGCTACCACCACAGTCGCACTTGTGTTTGTTCCCTTGCAGCCAGCAAAGCCGATCGATACTCCCACCGTGATCTTTGTCATTGTTCTGTGCACTTGTGACCTCCACTCACGCGGACGAGTGAGCGACCGAGACAACTTCTTTGCTCCACGTGACCTTTTCACACTTCGTCAATCTCGCCGGTCGATAAAGTGCAAAAATGGGATGTCGCGCAGTGTCAACAAGTGTCGCACCGGGTGTCTCGACGACATTGAAAGTATGCCACCTACGGAGTTGTAGAAAAGACGTTAAAACGGATATTATGCACACACTGCCTGAAACACTTTCACATTTCATGTGCCAAACTTTGGGTAAAACAGGCAAAACGGTTAGCCTACTCAGCCAGAACGTATATGGCTTTGTACAGAATGTGCGGAAATCCCGACTGTTTTATAGTCGTGCTATGACAACAAGATCAAGGGACCATCAGAACTGCGGTTAAAACCGATGCACAACCCAGGAAAAAAGTGTTTCTCAGGCAGATAATATCGCCCGCATACAAACTGGGTTCCCACAGACTTTATGTTCCTCCCCGCAACTGGCAGATCAGACCCAAAAAACTCTTCTCTCAAAAACTTCCCTTAGGTGACCACGATACGGTTGGCTCAACTAACCCTCTGCACCCCGAGTTTCCGCCACCAACTGCATTATTTCTACAGTAACTCCCAAGGTTTACTCAATAAATTTTCAGAGCTAGAACTGCATTTCCAAACTGGTCAATGGAACAGTATTGCAGTCACCGAAACCTGGTTGACAACGGACATTCTGGACTCACAACTACGCCTACCCGACATGACTCTGCTCAGGCGCGGTCGGGGAGATGGCTAACTGTTGTAGTCGAGATCTGACGACATCTAATGAGATCTTGAATGAACCGCCACTCTTTACAATCATTTTGCTGTGTATGGATCATTTAATTGTAGGACTCCTTGCATAAGAATCACCCGGGCACTGTCTGTTCCCTGTACGCTGTCTGGCTTATTCCTTTGGTGCGCGCACTCGCTCTATGGTCTGTCTGGTATAATCCTTATTTTATTCGAACTTCCTCGAAGGAGAAAGCTGGACAGAAGAATGTTCTCTACGTCTGATTCGTCACATAGTGTCACTCGAAGTAACCTAGGTTTCCCGGCGTGAGGTAAATTAGGCTGTCGCCGAAGGCGCGTGAGACCCATAGATTGGGCACTGATCCCCATTTGCGTACACAGGGCATTCCAGTACCTCAGCTCTTCGTCTTCTCTCTCTCTTAGGGAGAATGCCGTGGACTCGGAAATGTTTGTGCAAATCACAGTCAAACAGGTGTTGGTCGCGTCTTTCTTTGGCACATGAAATGTGAAAGTGTTTCAGGCAGTGTGTGCATAATATCCGTTTTAACGTCTTTTCTACAACTCCGTAGGTGGCATACTTTCAATGTCGTCGAGACACCCGGTGCGACACTTGTTGACACTGCGCGACATCCCATTTTTGCACTTTATCGACCGGCGAGATTGACGAAGTGTGAAAAGGTCACGTGGAGCAAAGAAGTTGTCTCGGTCGCTCACTCGTCCGCGTGAGTGGAGGTCACAAGTGCACAGAACAATGACAAAGATCACGGTGGGAGTATCGATCGGCTTTGCTGGCTGCAAGGGAACAAACACAAGTGCGACTGTGGTGGTAGCAAAGATAGCACTGAACAGAACAAATATATCCGTATAATGCTTGCAATTGAACTTAGAACGCCCGATCAAAATTCACTGGAAGGGCTGTTAAATTTCCTTTCGGGCGATGACAATATTGATAGGGAGGGTGAAAGTCGTTGAACGTTGGGGAGAAGTCTATCGACCGTAAATTGGGGGCTTTGTTGATCTGTGAATAAAGCCGTGAACTTCTGTTTCAGATGGTCCGCCATAAGGGGAGCAGGGATAGCAATGATTGCAGCATAGCGGAAGCCTTTATCGATTTGTGGTAAAAATGGGGCGGTGCAGATGTCATTGATTATTGTGGTTCAAAATTGTAAAAGCCGAATTCGGCCTTAAAGAGGAAGGCAGTTGAACCCGGAAGAGGAGAAGGCCTACAGACACATGAGGTCAGCCAATTTGCTAAACTGCGGGGAATATTGGAACTAACCAATGCGGAAACAGTCGTATTCACAGGCGTGTGCGAGAATAGTGTGCCACCGGGAACGCTTGCGTTTCGTGCACCAACCGCAAAGTGCAGTTTGGGTAAACTCGTTAGAGTTGTATAACACAACACAATAATAAATCCCTTTTATTCGTGGCAATAATTTCAGGGGTACAAAATTTACGAGAACATAGTAGAAACAGAAATAAATCCCGGTATAACAATGAACATATACTTAGTGCAGCCAATCGAAGGGTGCGGGAATGGTGAAATTGCGGCGTGTTTCTAAGTGATTGAAAAAGTAGAAAGTGGGGTGGAAGGAGACAGAAAAGATCACACAACAGGAGCTAACTGATGAGTGAATGGAATATCATTCAAACCGAGTGATTTGTTTTAAGTCCGAAGTTCGCAGTGCTTGGCGGATTCTCCTAGTGCTGATGTGGAGTAAGAAAGATGTGACGGCAAAATAAGATGAAGAAGTCGGAGGTACATTTGAAATTCACGACCGGAAACGTCGAAATTTGGTATTCTTTAGGCCGCGACTGATTAGGGTTTAAAGACACATCCATTAATCTGTGGCTTGGAGTGGCGAACCACACGTTCTTTCAGTAGGTTAGGTTGTGAGCATGGTGATTGTAGATCCGTTAGTAATAACACGATGCTCAACTGTGTGTGCATCATTTAAACCGGAATTGTAGTGATGGCCATTCTTGTTTCTGATTCAAGAAATGCATAGATCCGCGAACCGAACGCGATGCTTTTTTCGTGTGTTTTCATGTGCATATGCCTGTGAAAAATGGGGTGATTCTGTACTACCAGTGAAGTAGATCTCATCTTTTTTCTCCCTTTTACTTTACCCTCTTTGACCACAACATGTATGCATAATACTCTACCACTGTTTCATTCTCCATCTCGCACGTTGTCCTGTTGAATAACTACTTACAGGCGCACAACCTTACCAACCTTTATTTACTGGGAGTACCGCTAGTTTGTATCTGTACAACTTTATCGGTTTTCGGGATTTTAGTCGTGTTCATTGCTCATTTGAGATATGATTCAGTTGTCCACGCGTTATTTGCAATTTGATTTTCACCCTTCCTGGTTTCGATTCATCGTTACAGCCTTCCATTCGACACTTAATGGAACGTAACAAGTGGAAGTGCACACAATATGCAGATATTTCCGACTGGTGTTCTCTGGATAGTTGTGAATTCTTACAACTGGATCAAAGTTTTCTGCGTTTCGCAGTGGCACGTAAGGTTCCATCTCCTGAACATCCGCTCACTCTGGTTGAGTGTTTACAATTGCAACTGTTTGGTAGTTTATCCATATGGAATCTTCCCCGATTGTACATATCCCGTCTGCCCATCCACAGGTTAGTTTATGTTACATTATATAATACGAGTGTGTGGATGTTTGTTCTCCGTTTCCTTCCGTTTACCTTATGCATTAAACCGTTTTGCCTGAATCGAGCTGTTTTGACGCGGCTACTCTCCATCGGTGCTACCAATGTACGCCATCATATGACTCAGGATAATAAAATCGATAAATCACTCTTGGAGCTTACATTTGTCACTAGTTGTGGGGATAGCCAATCATTCTGTGGCTTTTCATCCTGTCATAAGTTCTAACTTCCATTTTTCTTTTCATCTCGCATTTCGTCCCTTAGTTTATTGCTCCGCAACAATATTCCAGCTTTTTTAATGGGACTGTGTACCGCGTTTATCTGTTATTGTGTAACATTTCACCTATATTAAACTTCAACTGGTTGTTGCGTCGCTGAATTTTTGCTGTTTGTTTCTCACTCCATAGGTTACTCTGTTCGTGTTCCGCTGTGATTGCCAAACCTCCCAGGCCCTCTGCGCCGTCCCTTCAGTCCAATTCTTCCCTTGCGGTCCACACTTGTCAGGCCGATCAACCCGAACACTGTATATCTCCCTATCATATAACCACCCAATTATCACCACCATCATGTCTTTCTTGTGCGGTTAATTTGTTGTATCGCTTCACCGAGCGTTCTCGGTGGCTGTCCGTAACCCAGTCTCTGCCTGCCAGTCATGGTTTTCTCAATCATTGTGCTCCTCCGGATCTTACCGGGCTCACCCCATGCGGTCGTCTGTTTCTCGACTCAGGTAAATCGATTGCCGTTGACTAATTTGCTTATGCCTGATTGCAAAGGTTTAAAAAGGTATTCGAATGTCTTAGCACCCGTTGAAATGAAGTAAACTAATTTCGGAAGTACATTTTATTCCCTATATCTAGCTCACCTATCACCAATCAGTTTTTCTTTTCGTCTGACTCCTTCATTGGTCGACCAAACTCCTAATCGAAAGACAACAACGAAAATCAGCAACAAGGCGTATGTTTTGTAGTTTTGTAAATTTATATAAAATCAGAGCTCATCCTGCCTTATTGATAGCGCTTTACTATCTTTTGAATAGCCGCATGCATAATTTAGACTGACTACACCTGTAATCAATTTTTTTATGAGGATAAATGTTTTCTTTTTTTTAAAGGGAAATTCAGTCGATTGAATCAGTTACTGAAATCGATTCTGGGTGCTCACCCGGAAGAAACCTACCATCGAGGCCGACCTCGTTGCATTTACTT